TTAAAAGACAGGAAATCTTTAAAGCATTTAAAGTTCTTCCGCAGATAAAGCCTATTCAATAGCCTATAAAAGCATAACCACTGATATAAGTCCCCCACGGCAATCTAATTTATCTATTTTGTTACTCAGCAGGGGCTGGGCTGACTTCTCACCTCATGAGACCTGGGAAGAAGTAGATGTTTCTTTGGGGAGCTTTTACTATAAATACTGACAGCTTTGATGTCAGAGGAGCCTCAACATCTGGGGGTTGCCAGGAAGCTTCCGTGGAAGCACTGCCCAGTGCCAACTCACTCCCACTCATACAGAGATGGAACAGGTGCTGCCTGTTCCAGCTGGGGAGACAGGTCCCAACAACACCCAGCAAAGACAGCTGCAGTGTGACCCCCTTTACCTTCACAGCTTGATTCTTGGTGTTGACAGGAGAGTTCCTCAAGGCTGCATGAAACGCCCGGAGCATGTCCCCTGTGCATCACCACCAGTTAAGGATGACTAGGCTTGAGCATGTCCATGATTTCATTAATGAACTTACTTCTTCTTCTTTTTTTTTTTATAAAGATGACCGGTAAGGGGATCTCAACCCTTGGCTTGGTGTTGTCAGCACCACGCTCAGCCAGTGAGCAAACCGGCCATCCCTATATAGGATCCGAACCCGTGGCCTTGGTGTTATCAGCACCGCACTCTACCGAGTGAGCCACGGCCGGCCTAATGAACTTACTTCAACAACAGCTCAAGAGAGCAATCAAATGGGATCTTATCCATACCACCCACCTTCCACTGGCGGCTTCCAGGTGGGCAGAGCCTCTTGATAACCTGGGCTTTCCTGAGCCACAGGGAGGGTGGAGGGCACTTCTGCCAACCCTGTAAACTCCTATTTCTGCTTCCTCTTAAAACTTCCCCACCAAAGCAACTGCCCTTGAGGGGTAACCTGCAGTAAAGTCTGACTGAGCTCCCTTGCACCTGGCTCAGTGCTGGGCACTGTATCTGCCCTACTGGACCTCACGGCAACGTGCCCGTGAACTGGAGGTCATTATCATATTCTCATTCTAAAAAGGGAAGAATGAAGGCACAAATGGAGGTCTCCAAACTCTTCATCCAATGCTTTTTATTAAACTACTAAAGAAATTAAAGTGTGCTAAAACTTCTATCTTCCAAGACCTACCCAGGTCAGTGAGGTACCAACTGCTACCAGGAGGGGAATTTATTAAATCTAAAAGAAATTTCTGCCAACAAAACCAGACGATGCCTCCACCAATCTTAGTTGCATCCTGATACCACAGTCTGTGCTGAGATCTGAATGCCCAGCAGGCAAAAGAAAATTACAATCTGAGTTAGGTCCCCAAAGGTGACACCTATTTTAAGCTAAATTACATCAGCCAACTTTCATTTCCTCATGTGAAACACTGGCTTCAGCCAAAAAGCTTCAAAAATAGAACAAGGAATGGCTTCTGCCCAATCAGGTTTCTACTCCTGTTCATGCACCAATCCCCACATGTGAACAGAGCCTCCAGAGCAAAGCTGAATCTCCTGGCTTCCCTAGTGTGGGCTCCATCTTGACTAAGCTCGGTCTACGCCACTAGCGAGCCACTCCCAGCCCCGATTCCCCAGGTCCCTGCTTGGCTCCTATCTATGTTCCACATTCCAGAGGCAGCCCACCCCCCTCCCTCCCATCTTTCAGCTTTGAAATTCCTTTTCCCTAGCCAAACAAGGGCCGGTCCGTTATCAGCCACTGATAACCTTTAACTCATAACTCTTCCAATTTGGTGTCCCCTAAGCAATAAACAAGGTCCCAGAGGCTTAACAGGAAATGCAAGCTAGTTTGCTCTTCACTTAAACCTAGCACAGCTGGCAAACAAAAATCATTCAGAAAATGGACGGGCAAAGGCAAGGATCACATACCTAGTCCATGGGAGGAAAAAAGTCACTGCTTTAGCACCGGTCTGTCAAGCAACCACTACCTCCATTGACAGATAAAGGCCTTCAGCAGGCAAGAGATCTGGGGAGCAATGATGGCATCCCTGCAATCACATGTCACTTATGAAGCTGGCCTCCACACTCAACTGGCTTTAGAGAACACACTGTGGAGGCTAGGGGAACCCTGCCCAGACCTTGCACTCCTCTAGACCTTTCTCAACCATGACACTACTGACAAAATTAGACTGGATAATTCTATGATGTGGGGCTGTCCTGTGCATTGTAGGATGCTCAGCAGCATCCCTGGTCTCTATCCACTAGATACCAATAACACTCCTAAGTTGTGACAATCAAAGTGTCTCCAAACATTTCTGAATTTCCAGGGGGCAGGGGTGAGGTGGAGGTGCAAAATTGCTCAAAATCACTGCTCCAGATAGATCCCTGCTCCAGTGAACCAGAAGCTGCTTCACTGAAGGAGAAAAGAAACTAATTTTATTTTATTAAAAAAGATGACCAGTAAGGGGATCTTAACCCTTGACTTGGTGTTGTCAGCACCACGCTCTCCCAAGTGAGCTAACCGGCCATCCATATATAGGGATCCGAATCCGTGGCCTTGGTATTATCAGCACCACACTCTCCCAAGTGAGCCACGGGCCCACCCTGGAACTATCTTAAACCACCACAAGATCAGGTGCTTTCACACATCTCATCCCAAAAAACCCTTTGCAAAAAGAATAATTATTCCCATTTTATTTTTTATTTTATTTATTTATTTTTTCCTTTTTGTCTTTTTTACTGACCGGTAACGGGATCACAACCCTCGTTGTTGCGCCCGTACCGGGGACCGGAAACGGGATCGCAACCCTCGGTGTTGCGCCTGCACCGCGCTCAGCCAGTGAGCGGGAACTGGTCTCCACATGGGATCCGAACCCTCGGCGGGAGCGCCGCCGTGCTCCCAGACGGTGCACTCTCCAGTGCGCCACCGGGCTGGCCCTTATTCCCATTTTTTTTTTTTTCCTTTTTGTCTTTTTTCGTGACTGGCAACGGATCACAACCCTCAGTGTCGAGCCCGTACCAGACCCGGACCGGCAACAGGATCGCAACTCTCAGTGTTGCACCCGCACCTCGCTCAGCCAGTGAGCGACCGGTCTGTACGTGGGATCCGAACCCTCAGCGGGAGCGCCGCTGCACTCCCAAGCGGCGCACTGTAGCAGTGCGCCACCGGGCCGGCCCCACCTTATTCCCATTTTAAAGGCAATGAAAGTGAAGCTCAGGGGAAGGCAAATTACCTGCCCACAGTCACAAAGCTAAGCTGTCCAGCTGGCCTTCAAACCCAAGCTCTTTCTATAATCCCTTGTTGCCACTCTACCTGCAGACCCAAGCTGCACGTGCGGGACACTTGCTGTATCCAGTGATGCGGATGTTGTCCCATGATGCTCCCATGGAACCTATTAGGCCAGCACAGCTGTCTTCCATTTAACAGAGGAGAATGCTGCAGTTGGGAGAGGGTATGTGACCTATCCAGGGTCACACAGCTAGAGCATGATTAGAGCTGGGTCTGTGTGGTTGGTGTGATTTCCCACCATAACACACTTCCCTGTGTGGCCCTAAGACAGAGCCCTTCACCACCCTAATAAACCAACCCCTCTTCCTGCTCCCCTCTCCTCTGTCCCAAGACTCTTAGAAGTCTTATGGCTTAAATTTAATGACCTCCCAAGCTGGCTGGTTAGCTCAGTTGGTTAGAGTGCAGTGTGGTAACACCAAAGTCAAGGGTTTGGATCCCAATACCGCCAGCTACGAGGAAAAAAGTAAAAAAAAAAAATCAATGACCTAATACTTGGCACATGGTAGGGACTCCATAAATATCAGTTCTTTCCTCCTTCCTACCTGGGCCCCACATTTGCCAGGGTTTCAGTTCTCCTCATCTACTAACCTCCCTTTGCCAAATCCCAAGAGGTACATCTCCCTGGTACCAAGGTTTCTGACACTGCCATCAGTGAAGAAAGTACCATCCCCTGGATATGCTAGGCCTAGGCCTCTAAGCGGCCTCCAGGAATCTGACTATCACTAGGCAGGGGAGTACCAAGACATGACCTTCAATAAGTGCCTGCAGCAACAAGACCAAGGCAGTAACTGAGGAAGTCTCGGTCTCCTCATCAGTGGAACGAGGGTCCCGAGCTAAAGGCCTGATCCTGGAGCCCTTTCACCACTAACTGCCCATGAGTCAGGCCCTGCACCAGACCACAGAACCAACCTTTCCTCCTGGGGGCCCTTCCCATGGTCCCATGAAACCAGCAGGGTAAGGGAGGTGATCCTGATGGGGCAGGAAATACAAGTTTGAATCTCCACCTTTGAGAACACATTCTTGTTCAAACAAAGTCTGAAGGTTTTTGTTTTAAAGGCATATTAGGGGAGCACTGCAGGACTCCTCCCAAAAGAGGTGGGCCTGACTTCCCAAGCTGAGTCAACCGATTGAACACCAAGAACCTGATTTATATACAGCGTGAGCCTCCAGCCCTGCCCTGACAAGTGCGGGGGAGGAGAATGCGCTTCCTGTAACACCATTTGAATAAAGAAAAATCCTTCCTCTGAAAGTAAATCAGTTTCCTGTGCTCAAACTGCTAAAGGACCAAGCAGGCTGTGACAATCACCTTTATTTTTAATCTTTTCTAAGTGCCTTTTTTCTGTGGTCACAATAACAGTCATTTCCAGTCGTGGGGCTCTACTTTTACACTTCACTTTATACTGTCTGGTTTTTCTTAGATCTGAACCACTAGTTTTTTCCACTTCTTCCTACCTATGAAGGGTACTGGGGGGGAGCCTAAACTCACTTGTTGAGCGGGGCTGAGACTATCAAGGTCCAAGACCCAAGGTGTTCGGAGGAAGGTGAGAACAGATGAGAAAGGGCGGCATTAAGCTGAAGGGTCAGACTGACTCCGGGGTAGCAGGAGCACGACCTCAGGCCGCAGGGCTGGACTAAGGCTGCAGCCTTTTTCCCCCTTAGGCCTTTTCTTCCCCCCACCCATCCCCCCACCTATTTTCATGTTGTGCTGCAATCGGGCCCAGGAAGGCCCATGAGGACTGTGCCGAGCAGCCCTAGCCGCTCACTTCCTAAGCGGGGACTCACCTCGGCCCCTCCCGCCGACAAAGCCCCATTGAATGGCCCTATTTCCTGCAAGGGAGGGATGGAGTGATTGGACGCCCAAGGAAGGGACACCCTGAAAGGATGAGGCAAGGGGGTTAGTGGAGGGAGAGGACAGCCGCACGGAGGAGGGAGGGACCTGCGGGCCGGAGGCGCGTCCTGTGTGCCTCTGGGGCCGCGCCGGGAGCCTGTCCCCCAGGGTCCAGGGGCCGCGTGGGGATGCGCTGCTGAGGCGGAAGGCGCCGGGGGCCCGGGATGAGGGAACTGGGGAGCCCAGGACTGAGGCGAACGTGGCCCGAGGGGAGCAGGATCGGAAAAGAGTTGGGAGAGTGACCAGAGGGGGTCAGGAGGAAGGGGTGTCGGGAGGCCGGGCCTGAGGGGCCCGAGTGGAGCATGAGGCAAGTGGGAAGGCCGGGCCGGAGGGGAGCGCGAAGGCCGTGCTGCCGCGTCGGGAAGGATATTGCCGCAGGAGCCCATCCACCTCGCTAGGGTCCGGGCCTGGCTCTGCCGCCGCCGCCGCCGCCTCCTCCTGTTCGTCCACGAATTTGTTCTCGTCAAACTCGTCGATGTCCACCCGGCGGAAGCGCGAAGACAGTGTGTTCCGGGCCATGGCGGGAGCTCGGCACCCGCTGGGCCGGCTCCGCTCCGCTCGGCACCGGATCCGGCTCGGGGGCGGGAAGCGGCAGCTCGGGGGCGGGAAACTGCTGCCCGGCACCGCC